GATGATGAATATGGATCGGTGAATTATAGAACGTTTGCATTAGAGGAGGCGATATGGCATTTTAGAATGCAATAAAATAAATATTGTATTTTTTTTTTTTAAATAAAGTTTTATTAAATCTTAATAAAAGTCGCTCAAGCATTATTTTTACATTTTTACATAATAAACAATGAACTCTCAGCAAATTTTAAAAATAAGTTACTATGTTTAATGCTTATAAAAATTTTCACCCAAAACTAAAGAATTTTTGGTAGGTGTTTTTCTATATTTAACGGATAATTAAGGTTATAACTCTTCTGTTACAACAAAATTTTAATTGGTAAATAATTAAAAGGCGAAGCTAGTGAAACTAAAGTTGAAGCTTCAGTAGCCGGTTGAATAAAAAAATCCTATTGTTTAGAAGCATAGTGAAAATTTTGAAAATAGAAAGCGTACGCTCAAGCATTTAATTCTATAAATGTCGTAATGCTCTCTTATATTAGCCTTTATTTTAATTTAATATACTATCGCTATATAAATTAATCAATTGATTTTATTGGTTAATTATTACGGGCAATCACGGGTAGATCAACAAAAATTAGCCAATCATACGAATGTCTGCCCATGACCCTAACCCTAATATTAATGAACTTTAAAAATTTTAAAAAATTTTACATGATGATCGGCAACATGCAAAACCTGGCACAGATTTCAGAAATGCATATTTGTTGATTTTTAATTGTCGGGATTTTTGGGTGCCGGTCAAAATCCCGACAAGCACAATCCCGACAGGTCATAATCCCAACAAAAAAATACCGACAGTCAGAATTTTCAAGTAGAAAATCCGGTATGTTTAGAGCGAAGTAGCCTAATTAATTTTAGCGTTAGGTCACTTTAGATAAGGGTTAGGCTAGGATTAGCTATATTTATAACGATAAGAAATTTTTTAACTGTCGGATTTTTGGCCGTCGGGGTTTTTTTGTCGGAATTATAACCTGTCGGGCAGGATTTTGACCCAAACCGGGATTTTTGCTGTCGGGATTTTTTTGTCGGGATTTCGCTTGTCGGGATTTTGACCAAACCCAATGCTACATAAAATCGATCAGCCGAATTTAAAAAAATCGCTTTTAGCCGATTTTTTCACTATCGGCAAAGATCACTGCTTCTCTATATTTACAAATACTTGAGTTATTTGAGTCATTTATATTACTATATATTTAATAATAATATATATTTATTTTAAAAAAATATCACGAAGCTGCAAAATATCATGAAGACCTGCAGAGCTCTTGCAGAAAATCACATCTAGTAGCGCTATTTTTACTCAGGATCGACACAATCATGATATGATTGTTTCCTTTTCATTATAGATATTGACTAACCAACCAGTAACCATTCCATGTAATGGTGGGAAAGTGGTTTCAGAAGTATATAAAATAGGATGCAATGACAGAAAAAAAGCATTGGCGTTACAATATATTATACGAATTTGTTTATTAATTGATCCTAATTAGGTATGTCTATCTGTTCCGCAGCAATTGTTCGCTGTTTTAAAAGTCATTTTAACAAGTTTTTTCGACTAATAAGAATGTTGTTCGAAGTGCTTACTTTGATTAGTAATTCATTAATGAAAAAAATTACGACATCTGACCGATTAGGATAGATTAACGTTAACTTCAAGCTCAGCAGTACGTACGTACGTACGTACGTTGGATAAATTTCCCGATCACATGATGATTGAACGAAAAAAAAAAAAAACTTAGCGCTAAAGTAATTTTACTACGTCTATACGATTTGTTATTCCCAAACCTTAACACTAATCCAAATGCTAAACGAAATTTAGATATCATCACACTCACCAAACGGAACACAAGAATTCAAAACAACACAGTAACTCAATGCTTAGCTCTATATATTTGACGCGTATTAGAGAAGACCTTCATTCCCAACGAAATCATGTGTTACATAATTATTTATATAATTCAGTAATTAATTGGATCCAAATTATTAATACGCAAGATCTCTTCGTCGTAGGTGTTTCTGATAAAAAACCTTAAAGTTTTTCCAGTGATTTTGATTGGATGATCAACTTACATAATCTAAGTTATTTAGGGATAAATACGTGCATTCCCCTTTTACCTTTTGAAAACTTAAATCATGTCAAACATTCTTAGTGTAGGTGCAATTCAGGATATATTTAATCCTAGTAGTAGGAGTCCAGAGAAACCGGTGCTTCAGGTTGCAAAAGTCATTCAGAGCGACTACTCCCAACCACGTCCGCCAAGACTCAAAGTTGCTTTTAACGATGGGTGTGAACTTGCGCAGGGTATTATCTCAGTTAATTTGGTAGAAAAAGTAAGCGGAGATTTAAAAAGAGGTCAACTTCTCAGGTTGACTCATTACAATTGTATTATTAAGCGTAGTCCGGAAAGTCAAGAAAGTCAGAAGATAATAATCGTTACGGACTATGAAATGGCCAGTAGCGAGTTACATCGAATCTTTAGTAATTTGCCTCGGGTTCAAACCATTAAACGTACTTCATATAATAAATCCATGCAACAAGTAATTACGTCCGGACCTAGTTACACCATCGGTGAAGAGTTCTTTCCCATAGGTTCACTTAGCCCGTATTTTAATGCGTGGAAGATAGAAGCCATTGTCGGTACAAAGACCGATATAAAATATTGGCAAAATGATAATGGAAGCGGAAAATGGTTCGCAGTAGTTCTTTTTGATAGTAGTGGTGAAATACGAGCAACGGCTTTCGAACAACAAGTTGATGATTTTTATGATCAACTACAAGTTGGAAAACTATATTCGATTTCTAAAGCAAGAATCAATATGGCCAACAAGAAATATTCGACAGTCAAAAATGATTACGAACTTATTTTTGGCAGAGAAACCATGATTATAGAGGTTCTTAATAAGGATCCTCACGTATTTATTCCATTCAATTTTGTTAAAATCGCCGATTTATTCGAATATGAAAAAGATGACATTATCGATATTATAGGCATCGTTATTGATGTTAGCGATATTCAAGAAATAACGACTAGAACCACACGGAAAAATGTCAATAAACGCACTATTATAATTGGTGATCAAAGTAAATATCAGGTTGCATTAACTTTGTGGAGTTTACGAGCCGAACAATTTGACAGCTCTATCTCAAATCATATCATCGCATGCAAGAATGTACGTGTTGGAGATTTTAGCGGAAGGAGTCTTTCAGCAATCTTTGATAGCACGATAATCATTGATCCAAATATTCAAGAAACGAAGGAATTACGCGATTGGTATAATTCTGACGGAACATATTCAAAATTTACCCCTTTGAATATATCAAGTTCTAGAGTGCAATACGTAGATGACATCAAAACAGTAGAACAAGTTAAATACGAAAGACTTGGACAAAACAGTAACTTTGATTACTTTTCAATACTGGTAACCGTTTTGAACGTAAAAAAAGGTACAATTTCATACCCAGCTTGCCCTACATGCAGTAAAAAAGTTATACAAGACGGCAGTGAATGGCAATGTGCGAAATGTATGCAGTCTTATCCCGAACCCGAACATAAATACATAATGACGGCTAATGTTGCGGACTCTACTGACGGCATGATGTTGAAATTCTTTAATGAACCTGCAATTAGTATTATGAAGCGCGAAGCAAAAGAACTTGTCCGACTGGAGGATGAGGATAAAGATCTTTATGATGCCTGCTTTGAAGAGGCGTGCTTTAAATCTTACATTATCAAATGTCGCGCAAAAAATGAAACATATACAGAGCGAGAAACAAATGCAGAGCGAAGCACAGTTCGATACTTCGGAATGTCAGTAATTCCAATTGATTACGTTGGTCGTATAAAGAAACTATACCAACTAATCACTGAGATGGAGGATAGTTTTTTGTCATAAATTTAATTCACATCAATCGTTTTTTGGGACAAGGCCATCTAAAAGTTATAAATTGGTTCTTAATGAGACTTACTTTTTTTTAAAAATCGACCAGACTGGGTTATGAGAACCAATATATAAATTTCTAAAATTTATCATGTGATAAAAATTTATGTACATATTTTAAATTGTAAATTTATTATATATTATTATATGTAATATGTAATTTGATTTTTATCAAATTTTGGGAAGCTTTAATAAAGTGTCAATGATTGTTCGTCTTAGACGACGTTCAAAATTTCGAAATTTCGATATTTGCACCGTTAATGAACACGTGACAAAATTACTATAATATAAAGTAGAGTAAAACGTGACATATGATATTATAAAGCAAATTTCCCATTTATTTTTTTAATCCTTACAATACTTTGAATTCATGGAATTACAAAGACCACAGATTATTTTCAAGGTGATGAAAATAAAAAGAAGTATTAATTTAGAAAACCTAGCACTTCATAATTCGGTTGAACAATTTCTTGACCGTTAGCCGCAAATGACATTCCGTCAATCAGATGCTAAATAGATAAATAATAAATAGATAAATGAAATAGCTAAAAATAAAAAAAAATAATAATAATAGTCAGAAAACTTACCTGACCAGCTTTACCGATTCTCCATTGATT